TAGCTACATGCTTTGAGGGGATTGGCACGGCACATGCATATCTATATTCCTTTTTTGCATCTTTTTTTCTTTCCTCCCCTCTGCATTTTAACCACCTGTAGCTCACCTACCTTTCCTTTTGGTATATGTTTGTGAATACAAGTAGTTATGAATTTACAACTTAATTTTTTGTTTTAATTGAAATGCTGCAGTGAAAAACTAGACGACTATAGTAGTGCTGAAGATGCGTAAGCTAATGAGGTGTTCCAGCACATCCTTTGGTCTGCCTGCTGATGCTTTCTTTGCAAGTTCATTCTTACGACGTTTCCAATATTGTCACTCTTTAAGAGAAGCTGTTGACAGTAATGAGTTTTCCAAGTTAGAACTCATAACCCCAGAGACATTTTCTTTCAGATTTCTAGCTCCAAATGGGTCTACACTAGCTTCTTGGCTGTGAGGTCGATTATTTTAGAGCTTTTATACCTAGATTGCAAGATAAAGGGGTGCAATCATCCGCAAGGTCAGAAGCCTGAAGCCAGGCGATGCTAGCTGGCTCGCCCAGGGACTGGGAGTCAGAACCGAGCGGAAGGGTATTTACTTCCCACTATTACTGCTTTCCAACCGTCTTCTGCACAACCAGCAATTATGAAAGTGAAGCTACAGGCTAGCTGTCATTTCTTGCTGCACACAATGTTCTTTGTACCAGTGTTCATGTTTAAAATTTATGCTTTTGTTTAAAGATTCACATTTGGCTTGCATAATTGAGAGTTTTCACAATCCGTTCTTGTCCGTCTTGACTTTGAGATTAGTTGAGAAAGTACTAGAGAAAAATAAATAAGCAGGCTTGTTTACCCACAGTGAGGTACACATTTTAGGTTATAATTGTCTTACAAAGTCTAATCAGTGACCATACAGTTGATTATGGAAAGGTAGAATTTTATGTAACACTGGGTTTAATTGAAAGGGAGACATTTGTTTCGCTCAGCCAATAGAATATCCAGTATTCTTTAGAACCTCAATTTTATCCATTTAACTTTGAGGCAATAGCATGATACAGTTAAAGTCTTCTAAAGCCAGCAAAGCAAAATGTAAGCCCTCAACCATAAGACTCATGAGGAGCAATCTCTGTGCCCACATCGTATGATGGGACAATCTTCCAGAGGGGTTCATGAGGCTAGGAGGGCAGACTAAACCCTTTTGCTAATATAAATACAGGCAACATTGCCATGTGAATGTAATAAATGGAAATCAGATTGTCCCCAGATAATTAGTACCAAATGGTGGAAAACCCAACCTCTAATCCATTGCCAAACCACTAGAACGCAGCAGAAAGCAAACAGCACAGCCAAGGAACGGAAACTTCTCGGTGTATTTAAATGGTCATTTAAAATAAGGACCCAATTTCTAAAACCATTGAAAAGATTTCCACCATCTCTGTGTAATACAGAGATGTGTCTGCTGGGCCCAGCAAAGGCCAGAAAAGGAACGCATGACTGAAGTAAGTGGGTTGTGTGCAAAAATCTTCAGCATTCTCCCCTGGGCTGGAGGGTGATGATGAGGTATCTACCCTGGGGGCTTCTCCTCACATGGTCACCCTGAAGGCTCACTGAGAATCCAGTGTCACGGGAACTACACGCAAGAGACCTACTTGTAATGTAACTGCGCTAGGCATGATGGGATTTGTAACTTATTTCAATATTTGTTTAATGAATGTGTAGATTCTGCAAGCTCACTGTTGAGCATGTTAGCAGTTGGGTGCGGTCTATTCTTTAGTCCTCCAAGACCAAAACAAGCAAGTGAACAAACAAAACCCACAAAGTCTCACTGACAGACTTGTAAACTCAATGGGCTCTTACTTTGTGTAGCACAATGGCTTTTTATGAGCCCTGACTTTTGTCCAATGAAATTAATACTCAAATCTCATGAAAATAAACAGATGTAACAAATTTCTAGGTTAACAGAATACTGCTTCACCACACACTGCAGAGCAAGCTATTGAGCAAGAGATACATCTGAAATTTATATTTTAATTACTTAAAGGAGACTATACACTTTGCATTGTCTTTCAAATTCAGGTGCAGTAGTTTTAATTGATAACTAATATGAGAAATGAGTATTGTGAAGCACGGCGACATTTCATACTAAATAACTGCAGGAGACTTGACTTTATTTTTAAGCATTTTTTTATCAGAACTTTGAGATCTTATTTTAATCATTATGAGATTAATATATCTGCAGTTGATGTTATACTAGTTTGTTTCACAGCTATGTAACTAAAATTGAAAATGAAACTCAAAATATTTAATAATGTCATCTGACAGTAACAGCATGTTAGGAAATGCCTAAAGCCATATTTTCAAAACCATCTGAAATGATCCACGAGTTGCATTTTAAAAACTCTTAGTTCTACATTTAAATGTTGGCAGTTTATTTTCTTTGAAGAACTGAATAATTTCAATTTCATGTTTTCACTAATACATCATTTATGGTGAGAGAAATTAAAAAGCTTTTGCAGTTTTCAAGGGCATAATAAGTTCTTATTAACTACATCATGTTGTACAGGAGATATCTCGAACTGATTTCTCCTCTCTAGAAAAAAGTTTCTGCCCTGTGACCGAACTCTTGCCTTATAGAATGTGCCCTTTCCTTCCATCTCATCCCTGCTAACCATAATTCCTTCCATGAGATCAACATTTTTAGATTCAACATATGAGTGGAATCATGCAGTATTTTGTCTTCCTGTGCCTGGTTTATTTCCCTTAATGTGACGCCTTCCATGTCTTCTCTCTCTTAAAGAACTCGTGGAGCAAAATGTTAAAAATTTGTATGATAAGACTTTTGGAATGGAAAATTTGTGTAACAAGTGTTTCTTCAAAGTTAAAATAAAAAAGAACAAAGATACTATAAAGACAAAGACCACGGATGGGAAGATTATAATTCGAATTATGTACATACTGATTAAATGCATAAAAAGTGATTTAGAGAAAATGTTTTCTTTATAAAATTGATCTTTTAGTCGTAGTCATTGAAGAATTCAATTCACACAGATTCAGATGGAGATGAACCCAATGCCTCACATAAATAATCAATCCGTTATGATGATGGGCTATTGTGATAATTTTATTGCTTTGTTTATAGGTGACTCTACTGTTGAGAACATCTGTGGGTTTCGTTTGCACACCAACTTTCATGCTGCCTGCATAAAATATCTGTAGCACACAGACAGTCAAAGAAACTAAATCAAGGCCATCTCATCAATCTGCTTGTCCTTTATCATGTCTGAAACAGACTTGGCAATCAGAGTGACCACCAATCCTCATTCCTAACATGAATCCTGACTCACTGTCTTTCAATTACCCCTCTGCATAGTTTTGAGGAGACCAGGAAAGGGGAAGAGGCAATTTTGATCAGTCTAAACAGTTTTGCTCCTCCCAAATCCTGCCCCCCCCATTTCCTTCTTCAAAGGAAGAAAATACACAGAGAATGAGCTTTGGCGTTGCACCCCAAATGATAATCCACCTACTGTATTCCTTGACAACACAGGGCTAACCCAAGCTCTTTTGATGAATTCTAGAAACTACTTTCCTAAGACTCCTTGAAGATGTAAATTGTCCTTTAATTATCTTTATACTGTTTGTTTCACAGCATAACTTATAATGAGATTTCAACAAGACTCTACCTTCCTAAGACTCCTTGAAGATGTAAATTGTCCTTTAATTATCTTTATACTGTCTGTTGGTTTCGCAGCATAGCTTACAATGAGATTTTCAACAAGACTTCAGTAGATATATTTTCTACTTTGGGACCAAAAGTTCAAAAATGAGTTTGATAGTTTTCCTCTAAGGAGACAAAAAAATTCTTGTTGAACAGTGAACAGTGAGGAAAAACATCTAGCAAGGAATAGATTAATAAAGCCAAGTTCTGAGGAGACCATGCCAGGCTCTCATTGTGCTTGTCAAGGGCAAATGAGTGCAGGACTCCTAAGGTCTCTTGTCAGTTCTGTCAGCACCACGCTCACATTTACTACAGAAGCCAGAGAAAGACCAACGCATGTAGTATGGAAAGTGAAAAAGCAGGCGCTCAGAAAAAAACAAAACAAAACAAAAAGACCTATTTCCAGGGCAAGTAAGTCTGAAGCCCTAAACCCAATATTATTCTGCTTCAGGGTGAAGAACTGATACATTGTGGCATGATATATAGATATAAATATATTTTTCAAAATTCTTGAAAGCTTTACATAGCCATAATTGTGCTCCAGTTACATATTAAATAGTTTAAATGCATAACAAAGTGTATAAATTAATGAAAAACATGAATAGTATAGGTGACTCAAATAGAAAAGATCTTGTTGAAAATACAATTTACTTGGAAAAAATATTTTTAAAACTTTTACCTCCCTTACCTTTGTCAAAATCTTATAATACCAATGTCATACATGACACTGGGGAAAAAAGATTTCAAACTGTGACAAGACAGAAGTAAATAATTTAATTATATATACGTGTGTGTCGCCTACAGACACAGACACTCATTTTAATGTCAGAAAGCAATTACTTCACTGCAGTGGGAACTCTTGCTGTGAAATAAAGGAACCATGTTCAGGGCAGTCCCCAGTCCATTTTCTACAATGAAGGTGAGCACTCCGGAGTAGACAGTATGAGTCATTCAGTCAAACCCCAGAAAATAATAATCAATGGAATGAAGAAAAGATTATGCCTCAAGGAGAAAGTTGTATCAAACCTTAAGACCAATGACCGAAACAAGGTGCCCGGCTAGCTCAGTCAGTACAGCATGAGACTCTTAAACCTTCAGACCAATGACTGAAAGAAGGAGAAATAATTTTTCTCTGCACTACCTAGGAAATTGTAATTTTTAAGTTAATATACTAGGTGCCATATCTATCCATGCTGAGCTTTAGCTTGGTGTTCAGAAAGACGTTATTTCTGAATCTCTGATCGAGAGGTGTTTTATCACCATAAGATCCTGTTTCTGCGGAAAACAATCATATTCAACATACTTACTGGTGATGCTGATACTTGAGTTACCCTTAACTGGTTTTCCAAATCTTGCACTTTATTTTTCAGTTCCATGTTTTCTGTTTCTAGGTCTTGGATCTAAAAAGCAAATGGTCACTGTATAACTTTTCAGATTTTTCTGCCTTAGAAAATACTCTCTACAGCACTGAACTTCATGAACAGTGATTTTCTGCTCCTGTACATGGGGGCGACACTTGTTTGGTAAAACTAGAGGAATCCTGGAGAACTTTAGATCACTGGAAAGACAGCATGAGTCTGAAATGGATTCAGATGTGTGTGCAAGTCGGACGTTCCTCACATGTCACTGCATGTCCCTGCCGCACTGTGCAAGCTACAGCCATAATCTTGGAGCATAACCGCGGGACAGTCAGACTTGCCTGCGATGGTTTTGAAGAGTGGAGCAGGGGCAGAATTTAATTACAAAGGAATCTGATCTGCGTGGGAAACCACTTACCCAGAGTCTGCTGCTTCTGCTGTTCTGGTCCCCATGAGAAGCATCGGGAAGTGAAGCAAAGTCACATGAGAACACTAAGTTCTTGTGGGAATTCAATATAAAACCGTTAAAAACTGCGCGGGGGCTCAGGAATGAAAAATTATAGGAACACAGTGAAATCAGTTCCAATCAGTGTGGGGAAAACTTAATAGCAGGCTTCCTAAATTTGTCTGATGATATGCAAAGCTCCCTGTACTTACATGACAGAAATGGGAAACGAGAAGCTTGGTTTACTCACTCTTTTCTGTAGCCCTGCAATCTGTTTTCTTGTTTCAACATCTTTTCCTCCAGATTCTAGAAATTTCCTGTATGCCAGGTCAAATGCTTGGCCAATGGTTAGAGTTATCTCTTCAGCCTTTGTAAAAATCAAATAAAGATTTGCATTTTAATAATAATGTCAATGTGTGCTTGGAATCAAGAGGCAGCGTCACATGAAATAGTCCAAGACATTCATCGGAGGTATCTCTAAGTAACCATCACAAAGGCTAGAAATTATACTACAGGACCAAAGTAGTGCACGTTAACATAGTAATTCAGTGTCATAAAAAGAATGAAGGAGGATGGTGAGGAGGAGAGGAGCAGGAGGAGGAGGTGAAGAAGAAGAGGAAGAAGAGGAAGAGAGAGAGAGGAAG